AGTTTGTGTAAGCCTTTTTCCATTGCACTGCTCAAAGAATTAGAAGAAGCGGGAGTTGGGGCAATACACCCGTAATCAGGACAAGACTGCCTGAGACATGTTCTACAAGCGCCTTGCAGACCAGAGGAGGAGCAGTTATGGCCGCTTGGTCATTCACTAGGGGAGCTCCCTCGCAGAGGTCGGATTCAGGACAGATCTTGGACACTGGGAAAGATTTGAATAAACTGGCTGGGGGTGGTGGCTCATGCCTGTAATCCCAGCACTTTGGGAGGCCAAGGCCGGTGGATCACGAGGTCAAGAGATCGAGACCATCCTGGCCAACATGGCGAAACTCCGTCTCTACTAAAATGCAAACAATTAGCTGGGCGTGGTGGCAGACGCCTATAGTCCCAGCCACTGTTGGTGGGGAGAGCTGAGGCAGGGAATCACTTGAACTCGGGAGGGAGAGGTTGCAGTGAACCAAGACCGAGCCACTGCACTCCAGCCTGGTGACAGAGCAAGACTCGTCTCAAAAAAAAAAAAAAAAAAAAAAAAAACTGATTTAAATAAATTATGATGGTGGAGGACTGGGGGAACAGACTGAACAATGGCAGGGGACTGAGAGCCCCACAAAGTCACCTGCGAGGGTGTTCCTCCGCCTCAGCGCTGCGGGTGTTCTGGGCCAGGCAGCTCTGTACTGTGGGGGGCTTTCCTCTTGGAGGTAGCAGCACCCCTGGCTTATCCTCACTAATGCCAGTTAGCAACCCACCCCTCGCCCCAGAATGACAACCGAAAACTGCTACAGACCTTGCCCGCTGTCCCCTGGATGGGGGTCCAAAATCACCTCCAGCTGAGTGCCACTGTCCTAGGTAAATGGAATTTTCAGGAAGCCCTAGAGCCACTCATTTATCAACGGGAGCCTGGCTTCTTATCCTTTCTCTTATTGTTGGATGACCTTGTGAAGAGGAGACAACCCCACTTGAGATTGCCACAGGAAGGAAGAAGGGAAGCGAAGTCCTCCATAATCTGCAGTGCCTGTCACCGAGGGCTCCTTGATAAGAATTTCTCAAGGTAGGAATGTGCAGCTCAACAGCTGGCCAGACTTCCTAGTTCAGAAGTGCAATCTCAGGTGGGGAAGTTTATTATGACAGCCAGCAAGAATGAGGACATTTCACAGGGCTGGGCTGCAGAGGAGAGAGGAGAGACTAGGCTGATGACAATCACCAACCAGTTTGATGACTTTGAAAACAGTCACTTCCTCTTTCTGGGCTACAGTCTTCTCATCAGCAACTGAAGGGTCTGCAGTGCCTTCAACATTCCTTCAGGTGAGGACTTCTCTTTGATCCCTGCTATGGTTTCAATGTGTCTTCCAAAGTTCATGTGTTGGAAACTTAAAACCAGTGCAAAAGCGTTGGGAGGGGAGGCCTAATGAGAAGTGATTAGGCCATGAGTATTCTGACCTCATGGATAGATTCATGTCATTATCGTGGGAGTGGTTTGTTAAAATGAGTTCAGCCCCTTCTTTCTCTTTCTTCTGCCCTGCACTATGGGATGCACGGTCCAGAAGGTCTCACCAGATGCTGGCACCATGCTTTTGGACTTCCCAGACTCCAGAACCATGAGCCGAATAAATTTCTGTTTATTATAAATTACCCAGTCTGTGGCACCCTGTTAGAGCAGCATAAAGTGGACTAAGACAATCCCTATAAAGAGTGGCAAAAGGCCGGTCGCGGTGGCTCACGCCTGTAATCCCATCACTTTGGGAGGCTGAGGCGGGCGGATCACAAGGTCAAGAGTTCGAGACCAGCCTGACCCATAAGGTGAAACTCCGTCTCTACTAAGAAAAAAAAAAAAAAAAATTAGCCAGGAGTGGTGGTGAGTGCCTGTAGTCCCAGCTACTCAGGAGGCTGAGGCAGGAGAATCGCTTGAACCCAGGAGGCAGAGGTTGCAGTGAGCCAAGATTGCACTCCAGCCTAGGCAAAAAAGCAAAACTCTGTCTAAAAAAAAAGAAGGGTGGCAAAAGAATAGTTGCCACTCACTGGCAGAATCCTATGATCAACTAGTAATGTCTGCCAGAGATGGAGGATGAGTGGCACCAACATGTATGGTGTGTTTGCTGACTGCTCTACAGGAGTCAACCAGAATCTCCGGATCTGTGTGAGGACCAAGAGCTGGGGACAGAAGCAGCGCTCTAGAGGGGAACGTTCCATTCAGATTCCTTGTTTTGTTTTGTTTTAAAGAGCTGCTCTGTGAGAGGACAGGGAGAAAATTGACCCTACAGGTCACGGATACTCAGCTCAGCTCAGTCTCAGGGAGGCACTCCAGCATTTATTCATCCAAAAAAGAGAATTACATCCAGGTGAAAGGAGAACCCCAGAATACCCACCTACTTTTAAAATTCTCCCCTATGCATATTCGGGAACCAGTAAGAGGACTTGTAATGCTCTGTGAGTAGAAAGGGAAGGGGAAAAGGAAAGAAAAAAGTGAAGCTTGGAATGGTGGAAAGTACATGGGCTCTGCCATTTGCCAGCTGTGTGATCCTGGGCAAGTAACTCAACCTCTCTGAGCCTTGGTTTCCTCTTTGGTGAAATGAGGACTAATAATCCATTTCTCCCTCAGTACAGACAGCTAGCATGCAGTGAGCGCTCAGCGATGGCCAAGTAGAGGAGAAGCCAGGGTGGAATGAACATACGGGACCATTTTGTGCAGGGTCGCAGGCAGGCTCAAGACTTGGTACTTAGTTTAACAGGCAATGAGGAGCCGCTGACAACTTTTTAAAAAATTAACATAAATGGGAACCACTCAGACTGTGTCCTCTTCCTCTTCCCCTTCCAGAGGAGGAGAAGAACCGTCTTCAATGACATATGGCAGTTGCCAAATTGCCATGAAGCAATACCTAAAGCCACCTCATGCTCAGGAGAGAACGCTCACCCCCTCCTCGTGGTTCCCAGTGCTCTACACATTCAGAGAAACTTCTCTAGTAATGAACTCGGGGACCGGTCACTGAGAGTATAGTCTCCAGGGACAGCTTTGGAGCCATGGAGTGAAGCCGAGCAAATCCATGGACCACTGCCCCACCCCAAGGTCTATCTCGATAGACTGGGGACAGGACTTGGTGATGCAGATTCAGAGAATGGCCTGAGGAGGACACAGACCAGGCGGGGGAGGAGGGAAGACGGGAGGAGGATGTGGGAGAAGGGCTACGTCAATCTCCAGAAGCAAGAGTTGGCGAAAGGCAGAAGGGAGAGGCCATAGAGCCAAAGAGGCAGCGGGAGAGAGGGTTTATTGGGTTTGCCCTCTTCGACCCTCCAGGGATTGTAGGGAGAAAAAAATGGAATAACAAGAGGATTGCCCAGGATTGTGAATTGGATTCCTTCGACATTCCTCAAAAGAAAAAAGAGAGAGAGAGAAGAGATTCCTTTTATTTTATTTCATTTTTGAGACAGAGTTTCACTCTGTTGCCCAGGCTGGAGTGCAGTGGTACGATCTTGACTCACTGTAGCCTTGGCCTCCCAGATTCAGCCTCTGTCTCCCCAGTTTAAGTGATTCTCCTGCCTGAGCCTCTCAAGTAGCTGGGACTACAGGCACATACCACCAGGCTCAGTTAATTTTTGTATTTTTAGTAGAGACGCTGTTTCACCATGTTGGCCAGGCTGGTCTTGAACTCCTGACCTCAAGTGATCCACCTGCCTCAGCCTCCCAAGTGCTGGGATTACAGGTGTGAATCACTGCACTCGGCCATGCCTCACTTTAAAAAATACTGTGGTACTGCTGGGCTGAGCCACAAGGGCCACAGCTTCAGTAGGGTTACAGGTGCTCATAGCTGCTTTTCTCCAAAGAATGGCTATGCCACTGAGAGACATTCTTATCAGATCCTGGCTCTGAAGACCACACAATCTTGATTTCTTGGTGTCATCCCTGAGCAGATAGCATCAGGACCTTCCTTTCATTTCTTCATTCCTCACCACTCCCCAGCACTCTCTGCCGTAGCACCTGCCACTGCCTGAAGGCTTTCTCTGGCTTCAGGGCTGTGCTAGGTGAACTGGCCCTGGGAGCAGCCCTCAGCCAGCGATAACTAGGGCTCCTTAGATAAACTCGGCAGCTTTCTCACCCTTTGGGCAGAAAAACCTTGAGATGCATTTGGCACCATCACCCAGAGGTTCCCACAGGCTGGAACCTCCTGATGTCCCACAGATGTCCATGAACCCAGATGTCAACAACAGTGACCTGCTCATCAACTTCGCCTGGCCTGGCTTCCTTCCCTTCCCGTCTCTCTTCCCCACTCCTCTCTCTGTGCTTCTAGGAATGGCCTTCAGATTAACCACTTGTACTCAAATCCCAATCTCAGAGCCTGTTTCCAGCAGAGCCCAACCAAAAAGAGTCAGGGTTCTAGGCATTTCATCCCGTTGTCAGGCTGCAATCTAATCTGGAAAGAACACATGGCCACGCCCCTTGGAGTTTGTAGATTTCAAACCCATGTGCTGCTCCTCCTGCTCCAGTGCCAAGAAGCCACTGGTGCCCTGGGCTTCTGGGCTGAACACAGGCTTGGCTCCTTCTCCAGATGGTGTTCCAAGCAGCCACTTCCAGCGAAGCAGCGTTGGCCCGAAAACTAGAACCTCTTTGTGGTCTCTGCAAACAAGACAATGACAAATACATGAGTAGGGACGGAAAAGAGGAGATCCTTTATAGGGCAGGGAGGGGTGGGCACTTGGGTGTGACCAAGGAAAGGTGTGCCTGGTTCACAGCTCTCCCTGGCTGGTGTCCAGCTCCCCTCCTCTCACAGGGGGAATGGGGCATCTCAGGGATGGCCTCTTTCCCCCATAGGGGAAACAGCACTCGTTGTCTTTGAAACAGCAACAGCGTGGGAACCGAGGCGTCCAGGAGGGGCGCAGAGGCAGGCAGGCTTCCTTTGGGCCCATCCTGCAGCTGGTGGGGAGGCTCCCTGCCTGGTAACGAAGGCCTGAGGGTGAGTTGTGAAACCCAGCAGGAAAGCTGGCTCACCTTCGCCTCCCCTTGCGGCTGGGAAGAGAGGAAATATCCCTGGCTGACTGTGCCAAGGCGGTGTCTGAGCCAGCCCTCCCGGCCCGAGGGCAGGGCAGGTAGCCCTGAGAGATAAGCCAATCCCGGGGCTGCAGATGAGGAGCTCTGAGAAGCGCTGCTCAGCGCAGCGGGAAGTCACTTCTCAGAGCTGCCCTGCATGCTGGGCCTGGGAGCAGGCAGCCTCCCGGTGGGTGTGGGAGCCTCACTCCTCCAGGGTGCAGTCCACTGGCTTCCCACATCTGCAGGAGCTGACGTGCCAGCTTCCCCCAGTACCACCCAGGGACGGGCAGCATGAGCCGGTCGAGGCACCTGGGCAAAATCCGGAAGCGTCTGGAAGATGTCAAGAGCCAGTGGGTCCGGCCAGCCAAGGTTGACTTCAGTGACAATGAGAGCGTCCGGCTGGCCACAGACGCCCTCTTGGATGGGGGTCCTGAAGCCTACTGGCGAGCGCTCAGCCAGGAAGGTGAGGTGGACTTCCTGTCCTCAGTGGAGGCCCAGTACATCCAGGCCCAGGTCAGGGAGCCCCCCTGCCCCCTAGAACCTCTGGGAGGGGCCGAGCCAGGCCTTAAGGCGCTGGACTCCAGCTCCCTGCAGTCAGGCACCTACTTCCCCGTGGCTTCGGAGGGCAGTGAGCCGGCCCTACTGCACAGCTGGGCCTCGGCCGAGAAGCCCTACCTGAAGGAAAAATCCAGTGCTACTGTATACTTCCAGACCGACAAGCACAACAACATCAGAGACCTCATCCGCCGCTGCATCACCCGGACCAGCCAGGTACCGATGCCAGAGCCCCTGTCTCCTTGGCCAAGTAGTGGGAGGATGGGGACGGATGGAGCAGGGAGGGGTGCATTTTGCTCCCAGGGACAGGGTCCAGATGACTGGGGCTTCGGATGTAGGGGCATTGCTGTGAGCCCTGCTGTCAACCTTGCCCTGGACCACTGACCTCCGGATCCCACCTGTCACAACCAGGGTCCAGGCGACCACCACCTGTCACCACCTATCACCACCTATCACCACTTATCACCACCTGTCACCACCCGTCACCACCCGTCACCACCTATCACCACCCGTCACCACCCGTCACCACCTGTCACCACCTATCACCACCTGTCACCACCTATCACCACCCGTCACCACCTGTCACCACCTGTCACCACCTATCACCATCTGTCACCACCTGTCACCACCTATCACCACTTATCACCACCTGTCACAACCAGGGTCCAGGCAACCACCACCTATCACCACCTATCACCATCTATCACCACCTATCATCACCACCTATCACCACCTATCACCACTTACCACCGCCTATCACCGCCTTTCACTGCCTATCATCGCCTATCGTCACCACCTATCACCACTTATCACCACCTATCATCACCACCTATCACCACCTATCACCCCTTATCACCCCTTATCACCACCTATCACCACCTATCACCCCTTATCACCACCTATCATCACCTATCATCACCACGTATCACTACTTATCACCAGAACTCCCACAATTGCTTCATGCCTGGCCCCCTCTTCCATTTTGATTCCCAGCTTCGCAGACTTCCTACTGCAGTAGAGCAGCTTTTTCTTTCGTGTGTGTGTGTGTGTGTGTGTGAGATGGAGTCTTGCTCTCTGGCCCCAGCTGTAGTGCAGTGGCGTGATCTCGGCTCATCACAACATCTGCCTCCCGGGTTCACGTGATTCTCCTGTCTCAGCCTCCCGAGTAGCTGGGACTACAGGCTTGCACCACCACACCTGGGTGATTTTTGTGTTTTTAGTAGAGATGAGGTTTCACCATGTTGGCCAGGCTGGTCTTGAACTCCTGACCTCAGGTGATCTGCCCGTCTCAGCCTCCCAAGTGCTGGGATTATAGGCGTGAGCCACAGTGCTCTGCTAGAGTGACTTTTTCTATACTACAAATCTAATTTGCTCCCCTCCCTGCTTAGAGCCTTCAGTAGCTCCCAGTTGCCCATAACGGGAAGTGCAAACTCCTTAGTGTGGCTCCTGCCTCCTTCCGCTCTACCCCACATGCCCTGCAGAGCTTGTCTTTGGGTCTTTGAATGTCCTGTTCTCTCTGCCTGGCCCCGCTTGCCTTCCCTGCTTTTCATTTGCCACACCTGCTCCTGCTCCAGGACCAGCATGAAAGCCTCTTCCCCAGGAAGCCTTTCCTGAATTCCCCAGGCTGTTTGCACTTCCAAATGTAAGGGCGCCCCTCTGCTGGGCTCACCCTTGCCCCTTTTCCTCTCAGATTCTGCTAAGACCTGTCTGCCCACAAATGACCTTGTGGCTCTTCAATCTAGCCAGTGACCGGGCAGAAGATAGGGTAGGCAGTAGAGGGGGTTTTTCTCTCTCCCCAGAACATTCGCACTTTGATAAGTGTCTTTAGAGGAGAAAAAGCTTTCACTCAATATGCTTAAAAACAAAGAAAGAAAAACAGAAGAGAAAAAACCCTTCAAGCCCAGAGCTTGGCTGGTAGGATTTCAGGTACCGTAAGAGCTGGATCAGGAGCTCTCCCCATGCCCCGGGACCTCCAGCCCCAAGTGATGTCCTGAGCTGTGGGTGCCCACCCCTCGCTCCTGTTGCTGCAGACGAGCGGGGAGAATGGACCACAAAGAAAGACATTCATCATCTGTAAAACCCTCTCTGTCTCGCTCTCTCCCTCTCTCGTATTCAAATTATTTATTTTGTTACACTTAGAAGAACTCAAAAAAGACCATGCTGATATTTGGATTGGTTTTTTGCTAAGGCTGCAATCTCCTAAATGAACTTCCTCCCAAATTCAATGCTGTGTGAAATCTTAAAGCTCCAGAAAAAGCCATCAAGGGTGAAGAGGCCATGGATGGAGCGGGAGGGAGGGAGCAGAGTTCCGGAAAATTAAGGGGAAGGTAGCAGTAGGTGGAGCATCCGCAGTGTTTTGTGTTTCTGTGGCAGGGCGGAATTTGAGGGTGCGTCCAGGCAGGCGGCCAGGAGTGCCCACGCTGCATTGGGCCCCGTGCTGGCTGCACCCCCTCGGGCAAGTCCCTGGACTCCTTAAGGCTCAGCTACTATGGCGGACTAAGGTCCCTCCAGGCTCCACGGCCTTTTCCTGAGTGTGCCAGTTCTGGTCTCTCCACATGAAGTTCAGTGTTCTCCCGAGGGGTGGGGACCAATGCTGTTGGGGAAATTGTCAATCACAGCTGCTCAAAGGGTGACAGAGGCTCCGTGAAGAAAGCCAGGTTAGGGCTTGTAAAACACAGTCCCCTGGCTGAGGCCCTCTCCTCCCCACTCCACACCCAGTGAGGCTCCTGCATCCACCTCTAGGACCCTGAGGCCCACTGATGTCCTTTTGTCCAACAGCACATTATGAACTTAGAACAGCACTTTAAAAATCTGAAGAGTTGGCTGGGTGAGGTGGCTCATGCCTGTAATCCCAGCACTTTGGGAGGCTTAGGTGGGTAGAACACCTGAGGTCAAGAGTTCGAGACCCGCCTGGCCAACATGGTGAAAACCCATCTCTACTACAAATACAAAAAAATTAGCCAGGTATGGTGGCTGGTGCCTGTAATCCCAGCTACTCAGGAGGCTGGGGTAGGAGAATTGCTAGAACCCTGGGGGCAGAGGTTGCGGTGAGCCCAGATCACACCACTGCACTCCAACCTGGGCAACAGAGCATGACTCCATCTCAAAAAAAAAAAAAACAATCTGAAGATTTCACCTGAAAGTAAGAACTTCCAGCTCCTCTTAGCAGGTGGGGTCTGCTGGCGGGGAGTTGTGGCTACTTCGTTGGGTGGATTCCCTTTGCGACAGTCCCCACCATTCCTTGTTGTCCTGGGACCCTCAGGGCTTCACCCATTTGGGTGTCTGCCAGGCACCCAACAGTAATGAATTGGTTATTAATTATTGGTTATACAGGCATTCTGTTATTAATAAAGAACGATTTCAAAAAATTCTTAGTTTTAGTTTCTAATATGGCAAACATCAATAGCTATAATCCACATGAATAAAACCTCTTTGAGATCACCAATAATTTTCTTTTTTTTTTTTTTTTGACAGACTTTCGCTCTTGTTACCCAGGCTGGAGTGCAATGGTGTGATCTCAGCTCACCGCAACCTCCGCCTCCTGGGTTCAGGCAATTCTCCTGCCTCAGCCTCCTGAGTAGCTGGGATTACAGGCACACGCCACCATGCCCAGCTAATTTTTTGTAGTTTTAGTAGAAACGGGGTTTCACCACGTTGACCAGGATGGTCTCGATCTCTTGACCTCGTGATCCACCCGCCTCGGCCTCCCAAAGTGCTGGGATTACAGGCGTGAGCCACCGCGCCCGGCCCGAGATCACCAATAATTTTCAAGAGCGGAAGGCAAGGTTTGTGATGTCCTTGCCCACCCCCCCGCCCACACACACACACACACACACACACACACACGTGCACATAAACAGATGCACATACACACAACCCCACATGCGAGGGCCCAGGGACAGCCAGCTCTCACAGACAGCCAGGGAGCTGGAGCCTCAGCCCAGCCTGTCTGTGGACACAGGTGGCGAGAAGAGGAGGAGAGAGTGAGGAAATAGATTTGAATTCTCCCTGTCCTAAGCCTCAGCATCCTGAGACGAGCCAGAAGGGAGCAGACTGAGAGACCCAGCCGAGAGGTGCTTCCTGGAGCAGTGTCCATTCTAGAAGAAGCAGGAATTCTCCTTCTTTCCCTTCATGCTCAAATTCCTTTATTCCAGGCTGGGCGCGGTGGCTCTCACCTATAATCTCAGAACTTTGGGAGGTCGAGGCAGGTGGATCACCTGAAGTCAATAGTTCGAGACCAGCCTGGCCAACATGGTGAAACCCTGACTCTACTAAAAATACAAAAAGTAGCCAGGTGTGCTGGCAGGTGTCTGTAATCCTGGCTACCTGGGGGACTGAGTCAGGAGAATTGCTTGAACCTGGGAGGTGGAGGTTGCAGTGAGCCGAGATGGCGCCACTGCTCTCCAGCCTGGGCAACAGAGCAAGACTACTCTGTCTCAAAAAAAAAAAAAACCCTTTTCTTAGTCTACAAAGCCTAACGTGCCGGCCAGCCCCACACCCAGGACAGCAGAGTGGACCTCTAGGGAGCTTCCTGCCAACTGCCTGCTCCTTAGGGGAGAAGAGAAGGAATTAGACGGTGCAGTCCCAGGTGTGGGCAACTCTTGGTGCCTGGAAGTGAAGGGAGGGCCTAGGGCAGCCTTCATGGGAGAGGTGGTCTCGGAGTTGAGTCTCAAAGGCTGAGTAAGCATTTGCGGGCAGAGAAGGAAGGGAAAGCAATTCGTCTTTTCAGTAGAGATGGGGGTTTCACTATGTCGCCCAGGTTGGTTTTGAACTCCTGGCCTTAAGCAATACACCAGCCTCAGCCTCCCAATGTGCTGGGATTACAGGCGTGAACCACCATGCCCAGCCTTCAACCCACTATACCTTCTAAGGAAGAATAGTGCTCCAAACCAGTAACTGTCTTCGGATTAATCCAGCTGGAGGACACTCGAAACCGGAGGCAAACAAGATGAACCTAGACAGGTGAGCCTGTATTTCCAAGCATCCTTTAATTCAGGATGCTGTGTTATTTCCAAACCTGCCCCTGTCTCTGTTCAATCACCAGCTCACCAGCATATCTCAGGAAAATGAGGATACCTTGGCACAGAACTGAAGTACTTACTGACCGATTGGGAAGGGAGGGAGGGAGTTGTTTCTTTTGTCAATACCTTGGAAGAGGAGGCATATATCTTTCAGCAAACAGAAAGCCTCAGCTGCTTTCAGTGCTGTAAGGTTAAATGTGTGCAAGACAATTAACTGTGTGATTACAGGGCCGTGGTTCTAATGATCACAGCCTCATTATTAGAACATCTTTTCCGGTTTCCTGCTCAGGGTGAACAATTTCTGAGGATTTTCCCCCCTGTCCAGCTATCCATCCACATCACAGAAAGCTGGTTCCAAGGGGATACCAGCCATCAGTTTGGCCTGTCAGCAAGACGCCTCACTTTCCTTGCTACTTCCCAGAAGGTGGTGGTTTAAAAAAATATATTGTGCTGGGTGTGGTGGCTCACACCTGTAATCCCAGCACTTTGGGAGGCCAAGGAGGGTGTATCACCTGAGGTCAGGAGTTCAAGACCAGCCTGACCAACATGGAGAAACCCTGTTCCTACTAAAAATACAAAATTAGCTGGGCATGGTGGCACATGCCTGTAATCCCACCTACTTAGGAGCCTGAGGCAGGAGAATCGCCTGAATCCGGTAGGCAGAGGTTATGATGAGCCAAGATCGCACCATTGCACTCCAGCCTGAGCAACAAGAGCAAAACTCCATCTCCAAAATATGTATATAGGTGATATATATACATTGCAATTATTAGAAAGATAGTGGGACATTATTATTACAGGTAATCTTAAAGAAAGAGAATGGCCATATTTCCTGTGAAAGAAAAATATCTTGGGCTCCCAAAATCACTAAGGAAACGGAAGCTGGAAACTCTCATTCTATTCAAAGTCACCCCTCTACTCACTGATATAGATGTATATCGGAAGGTAGGAAGGAAGGAAGAAAGGGAGGGAGGGAGGGAGGGAAGGAAGGAAGGAAGGAAGGAAGGAAGGAAGGAAGGAAGGAAGGAAGGAAGGAAGGAAGGAAAAGATAATTATGGAGGATATACGGAAACCTGATATGCACTTGACATTGACATTGAGATAAAATAGAAGAAATGATTGGTATTCAGTAATGGTGCTGGGACATTTGGTTTTCCATGTGAAAAAAATATATAAATGAAAATATATCATCTAGGTTTGTGTAAATATACTCTACAACGTTCACACAATGAAGAAGTCACCTAATGATGGATTTCTCTGACTGCATCCCCACCATTGCCACTGATGGTATCTGCATTCACTCACTGGCAATCATAGTGGACACATTATCACTTGGTGGTGTTTTCTTTCTTCACTTAATTCATTGTTAATACACATTTGTTGAGATTATACAGCAGGTTTAACTTCAGGCTATACATTTCACCTTATCTTACAGCTTCTGCATAATCACTGTAATCAACATTTTTTATTTTTATTTATTTACTTATTTATTTATTTTGAGATAGAGTCTCACTCTGTTGCCCAGGCTGGAGTGCAGTGGCACAATCTCAGCTCACGGTAACCTCCACCTCCTGGGTTCAAGTGATTCTCCTGCCTCAGCCTCCTCAGTAGCTGGGACTACAGGTGTGTGTTACCAGCCTGGCTCATTTTTTTTTATTTTTTACTTTTAGTAGAGATGGGGTTTCGCCATGTTAGGCTGATCTCGAATTCCAGACCTCAAATGATCTGCCTGCCTCCGCCTCCCAAAGTGCTGGGACTACAGGTGTGAGCCACTGAGCCCAACAGTAATCAATGTTTTTAATGACTTAATAAGCCGAATAAGCTGCTTGTCAACATATCACAATTAAGGTATTAGAAAGGACTCATGGTTGGGTGACAGAGAGTAAACCCAAACAAGGTGACGAAGGAGAGAAACATTCATTGACATCCACAGTGGAAAAGTCAAGGGTAGCACTGGTCTCAGGCATGGCTGGAACAGGTGTCCAAATGACACTGCTAGGGCTCTGTCTCTACCTCCTGGCTGCTTTCTCGAGGGCTGGCTTCATTGTCAAGCGGGCTTTCCCCAAGAGGCAGCAAAATGGCTGCCAGCAGCCATTGCTTATAAACTACCAGCTAAGCAACCTTGTAGAAAGAGCACCTCCTTTTCCCTGGAGTCCCAGCTAAAGTCCTGGGCTGACTCTCATTAGGATAACTTAGATCACATGACCACCTCTGGACCAACCTCTGTGGCCAGCAGGGGATGCAATGCTCCCATTGGTCTAGCCCTGGTCATGTGCTCTCCCCATGTCCAATCAGGAGATGGCAGTAGACCTATTCAAACAACATTAATTGTGGAGGACAGGCAATTCCTTAAAGTTAGATTGGGATGCTGTTGGCAGAAGAAGAGGGAATGAATGCTTGGCAGGGGGAACACAGGTATCTCTCCTGCTTGCTGGATGTCTAGGACTCCCCTCCCCAGTTTTTACTATGACAGATGATGCAGTAGCTGTGGGTAGAGCATGACTCCCTTCTCCATCCCACAGGGGGAAGCTTGTTCTAGTCATTTATATATGGGGCATCCACATGGGATTTTGTGTGAGGCGAGGATTTCATTAAGGATTCCTTAATGAAATTTGAAAATCAGTGGCCATAGTGTGCCCTCTAGCTCCAAGTGGCGGAGAATCCATAACCGTAACTTTCTGCCCCTCTGGAACCTGCTGAGGTGCTTCTTGTTCTCTGCTCTCCACTTCCTAGCCTTTTCCCTTCCTCCTCTGCCCTCCTCAGTCCCACAATGGGCATAGGGGCCAACGGATACGTGGTGGGGCAGGAGGGGTGGGATCAGGACAGGGGCAGGGGCCTCCACTTTAGCCCTTCCTTCTCCTTCCTTTAATCCTGCCCAGTCAAACCCACTCTCCCCCTATCCTCTCCCATTTGGTCCAATGGGAACAGGTGTCCCAGGCCCACTGGGACTCAGGCAGTTTGGCTAAAACTAGTTGGCACCTGGCCCTGACTTTTCTGGTAACTGAGCCCTCTGCCCTGGCCCAGGTGCTGGTCATCCTGATGGATGTGTTCACGGATGTGGAGATCTTCTGTGACATTCTAGAGGCAGCCAACAAGCGTGGGGTGTTCGTTTGTGTGCTCCTGGACCAGGGAGGTGTGAAGCTCTTCCAGGAAATGTGTGACAAAGTCCAGATCTCTGACAGTCACCTCAAGGTAGGGCCCCCAATGAGATATTAGTCCAAATACGATAGTCTATGCAGTAGTCACAAATGTCCCCCATCTTGTGTTAATAGCTTAACACAATAAAGGTTCATTTCTTGCTCAAACTCCTATGTAGGTCGGATGGGCTTCCTCCATCTTGGAGCTACATCATGAGAAATACATGGCCTCCAAGATAGCCATGACAGGGAAAGAGAAGGCTGGAGGACTCTGCAGGATGTTTCCAGGATCTGACCTGGAAGAGACTTTCATCGCTTTCTCTTATAACTCATTACCTCACCCAGATGCATGGGTGTCGGGAGATAAAAAGTGTCACGGGTATCTGGTGCGCAGCATCTCTGCCATGTACTCCTGTTCTCTCAGCTGGGGAAGCCCAAGGGATGCATCTCACAGGGCAGGCAACCTCCAGAGCCTGTGGGTACATGTTCAAAACTCGCTGGCCCCAGCAAGACATTGATCCTCTTGGACTTAACTGAACCCCCTACTTCTCTCTCCTGGCAAAGAGAAGAGAAACCCAGAGATAAGAGTTTGATTCGTCACACAAATTTGAGGACAACTAATTCAAAGTCAAATGTGAAAACCACCCGTAGCTTTCATGAGTAGGTCCAGGTGAACAGCTGATGGGTGACCCTCAGAGTTCTTTTGATCAGTTTCCTCTAGTTCAGGCAAGAGAGGTTCTTTCCTCTGGAAGAACCTCCCAGATAAGAATGAAGCCTCCTCCCTCCCTCCCTTCTCTGCACAAATGCAGCTGAGTTCAGGGCTGCCTCAGGCCTTGGGACCTCTGACTGCTGGGTCTGCTTGGCATGACATGGATCACACCTCCTTGGCCATTGAAACCAGGTCAAGAGTGTCAGAGCTGGCCTTGCTTTCATGGCCTGTGCTGGCCACACCTGACAGTCCTCTGCTCATCATAGGGTGATGGGATTTGTCCCTCCTTTCAAGATCTCACAGACCAATGGAGAAGCCTCGGGGAAGCGGCTAGAGTCAGTACCGCCCTTCCCAGAGTCTGCCGTGCTACCAGCAGTGTCTCGTGGGATCCAGAAAGTACTCCACCTGCCTCAGCCTTAATCTTGAGACTCCCATATTTGACCTCCCCTTCCATTTCTCCACCCTTCCAGCCCTAGGGCAGGGGCAGCAGGTGCTACAGGGAAGGTAAGGGGCAAATAGAGCCATGGTAGGGATGTGGACATATCTTTGCTTAAGACAATACAGGGTCTATTGCGACCTCCACAAAGCCACCTCCTCTGGCTGCACCAGGCCTTCCCTCTGATCAGCTTGCAGTCAGGGACTCAGGTCACTAAAGCCACTTACAAGGCAGGGCTGGGCTTGCCTCCAACTGACTGCCAGGCCTCTTGTGGCTCACGGTGGCCCAGACTAAGGGCTCTGTAGGCATCAGGCCCTTGCCTTGCTTTTATTTGCTGCCTTATTTGAATTCTACCCCCTTCCGTTTTTCTTTTTGTTGCCAGCTAATGTGAAGACAATGAAGACAATTTAGACAATTCAGCCCAAGGAAAAAATGAACATGGCCCAGAATCCCACCAACCAGAGATAACACATCTCCATTTTAGTGAAACTTCTACCAACCATTTTCCTACACAAATTGTCTTAGTCCATCACAGCTGCTATAACAGAATTCCATAGACCGGTGGCTTATAACAACAGAAATGTATTCCTCATGATTCTAGAGGCTGGGAACTCCAAGGTCAAGGTGCTGGCAGATTAGCTGTCTGGTGAAGGTCACTTCCTGGCTTATAAATGGCTGTCTTATTGCTGTGTCCTCACGTGGTGGAAGGGGTGAGGCAGCTCTCTAGACCTCCTTTGTAAGGCCCTCATCTGCTGGGTGCAGTGGCTCATACCTGTAATCCCAGCACTTTGGGAGGCTGAGGCGGGCAGATCACGAGGTCAGGAGATCAAGACCATACTGGCTAACACGGTGAAATCCTGCCTCTACTAAAAATACAAAAAATTAGCTGGATGTGGTGGCATGCACCTGTAGTCCCAGCTACTCAGGAGGCTAAGGCAGAAGACTCACTTTAACTTGGGAGGCAGAGGTTGCAGTAAGCCGAGATTGGGCCACTGCACTCTTGCTTAGGCGACAGAGCGAGACTTTGTCTCAAATAAATAAATAAATATATAATAAGGCACTCATCCCATTCATGAGAACTCCACCTTCATGACCTAATCTCCCAAAGGCCCCACCTTCTAATCCCATCACCCTGGGGATTAGGTTTCAACACAGAATGGGGATAAGGGGAACACACACATCCAGCCTCACGCCCAAATGTATCTCTATAAACAGAATTAGGGAGTGACACCTCGACTTTCCCTCCCACAGAACATTTCCATCCGAAGTGTGGAAGGAGAGGTGTACTGTGCCAAGTCAGGCAGGAAATTCGCGGGCCAAATCCTGGAGAAGTTCATCATCTCAGACTGGAGGTTCGTCCTGTCTGGATCTTACAGGTGAGCCCTGGATTCATCTCGGGTCAAGGATTCGTGGAGGACAAAGGCAAAGTGAGGTACAGACCAGCTGCTCACACACACACCACCAGCAGCTCCCAGGACGTCTCCCTCTGGCCGGAGCTGGAGCTGCTTCACATAAATGGGGTGAGAGGCAGGAAATCTGGGCCTGGCGAGAATTCAGGTAGAGAGGCATTTCCAGATGCCTCAGTTTCCATTAATATTGCAATAGGACATAGAATCCTCTTTTCCCTCCTCAGGTATCTTAGATGAGATTATAAAGTAATAAAAAAATTTGTTTACTTCTGTGTGTGCACACCCCATTACACTTTTTTCCTTTTTTTTTTTTTTTTTTGAGATGGAGTCTCACCCTGTCACCCAGGTTGGAGTGCAATGGTGCAATTACGGCTCACTGCAACCTCCACCTCCAGGGTTAAAGCTATTCTCCTCCCTCAGCCCCACAAGCAGCTGGGATTACAGGCACCACCACCACACCTGGCTAATTTTTGTTTTTTTAGTAGAGACTAAGGATTTAGTAGAGACTTTAGGATTTCACCATGTTGGCCAGGCTGGTCTCAAACTCCTGACCTCGGGTGATCCACCTGCCGTGGCCTCCCAAAGTGCTGGGATTTCAGGTGTGAGCCACTGTGCCCAGGCCCATTTCATTTATTTAATTTTTATTATTTTAAAATAAATGTATTGAGATTTATTAATTCACATGCCATATAATTCATTGAGGTGTGCAATTCGTTGGTTTTTGGTATAATTCCAGAGTTGTGCAACAATGACTACAGTCAGTTCTAGAACATTATCATCATCCCATTTTTAAAAGTCCCATAACCATTAGCAGTCACCTGCCATCTCCTCCAGATCTCCCCAGTCCTACGCCGCCACTAATTAACCTTCTGCCACTATAGATTTGCCAATTCTAGATCTTTCATATAAATAGAATCATATGATATGTGGTCTTCTGCGACTGGCTTCTTTCACTTAGCAAAATACGTTCAAGATTCCCACTGTTGTATGGACCTACCACATGTTATTTAACTATTCATCAGTTGATGGGCTTTTGGGGTGTTTCCACTTTTCCGTCCTAATGAATAATGCTGCTGTGAACACTCATGTACAATTACTTGTGTGGACACAGATTTTCAGATCTCTTGAGCATCTGCTAGCAGTGACATTGTGGGTGATAGAGCAATTCTATGTTTAACCCTTTAAGGAACTGCCAGATTTTTAAGCCACAGTATGGAATGTAAAATGGCCACAGCATTTTACATTGCTGCCGGCGATGTATGAGGGTCCTAATGTCTGCAATCCTAGGCAGCACCTGTCATTGTTCCCCTCTTTGATGATCCTGGGGTATGAAGTGATGTCTCATGCGGTGTTGATTGGCATTTTTGCCTGATGGCCAACCATGTTAAGGTCTTGTGCTTGTTGGTTCTCTGCATGTCTTTTTGGGGAAAATGTCTCTTCAATTTCTTTTTATTGATTGAGACAGAGTCTTGATGTGTCACCCACGCTGGAGTGCAGTGGCGTGATCACAACTCACTGCAGCCTCAATCTCCTGGGCTCTTCCCACCTCAGCTTCCCAAGTAGCTAGGACTTTAGGTGTGCACCACCACACCCAGCTAACTTCTAATTTTTTACAGCGCTAGGGTCTCACCCAGGCCAGTCTCAAACCCCTAGGCTCAGGCAATCCACCAGCCTCAGCCTCCCAAAGTGTTGGGATTATAGGCATGAGCCCAGCGCCTGTCCTCGATTTGTGTTTAGACCCTCACACATAGACTCCTACATCCAAATGACTGACGATTCACTTATTCTAGCAATGCTGCCTTGCCTGGGTCTGTCTTTGAAACTCGACTACAGAGCTTAAAAGATATTCTTTGATATGTTCTCAGTGGCGGCACTAGGGAAGTGGATTTGATGGCGGGTTTTGTGAGAGGGATGAAATGAGCAATTGAGGAAGGGAGGAGCAGCCGAAGGTCATTTGGGAACATTTTATTTAGGAAGGTGATGAACGTGACAGTGCAGAAGGGGCAACTGGTTGTGTCTTATCTTACTTCCTCTGCTGCAAACACACAGCAGTGACCAATGAAATACGAGCACCAACACTGGGATATGCTGGGAGTGAAAGGCAGGCCTCCAGGGGGTGGTTTGGATGCGCTGTTTCCCCAGGGAGCAGGAGCTGGAGAGGCTGTTCCAAAGGCAGGTGAAGCCAACCGCAAAATCTCTAGCCAGAGACAAATGAACATAAAGGGAAAGAGAGAAAGGGAAAAAAAACCCTTACATTTAAATTGTGCTCTCTTTCTTCAGCCTTATTAGTGCCGTTTAGCTGAAATTCCACTTTCAGTGATATTAACATTACGACCTCCAGTCTTCCTTGGGCTTATATTTGTACAATGTCTTAGTCCACTGGGGCTACTATAATAAAATACCATACACTGGGTAGCTTATAAACTACGGAAACTCATTACTCACAGTCCTGAAGTCTGGGAAGTCCAAGGTCAAGGTGTTGGCAGATTCAGTGTCTGGGGAAGACCCGCTTTCTGTCTCATAGACTGCTGTCTTTTTACTGTCTTCACACAGTGAAAGTGTATCTTTATCCGCCATGGTAAAAAAGGGTGAGAGAGCTCACTGGGGCCTCTTCTGCAGGGGCACTAACCCCATTCATGAAAGTTCTACCTTCATGACCCAATCATGCCCCAAATGTCCTCCACATTAATACCATCACCTTGGGGATTAGGATTTCAAATATGAATCTGGGAGAGACACAGACATTTAGTCTACAGCACAGAGTATAACTTTCTCTCCATCCCATTATTTTCAACTTGCGGTTGGATTTTAAGTGTGTCTTTTATGAACAACATAGCATTATTTTTTTTTTTTTTTTTTGAGACGGAGTCTTGCTCTGTCACCAGCTGGAGTGCAGTGACGCGATCTCAGCTTGCTGTAACCTCCGCCTCCCCAGTTCAAGCGATTCTCCTGCCTCAGCCTCCCGAGTAGCTGGGACTACAGGTGCATGCCACCATGTCTAGCTAACTTTTTTTTTTAGTGGAAACAAGGTTTCACCATGTTGGCCAGGATGGTCTCGATCTCTTGACCTCGTGATCCACCTGCTTCAGCCTCCCAAAGTGCTGGGATTACAGGTGTGCGCCATCACGCCCGGCCTAATTTTTTTTTTTTTTTTTTTTTTTTTTGAGACAGAGTCTCACTCTGTTGCCTGGGCTGGAGTGCAATGGCTCGATCCCCACTCACTGCAGCCTCCGCCTCCTGGGTTCAAGTAATTCTCGTGCCTCAGCCTCCCAAATAGCTGGGATTACAGGCTTGCACCACAATGCCCAGTTAGTTTTTGTACTTTTAGTACAGATGGGTTTTGCAGTGATAGTCAGGCTGGTCTCAAACTCCTGATCTCAGATGACCCACCCACCTCAGCCTCCCAAAGTGCTGGGATTACAGGTGTGAACCCCATCGCTCCCAGCCTCATTCAAGTTTTTAAAAGTATAATTTTATCGTCTCTGTCTTTTAATAGGTATAATCTCCTTAGTTACTGTGATTGCTGATCTATTTAAGTTTATTTCTAATATTTATATTTTAACTTTGCTTTTCCCCTTTTGTGTTTGCAGTTGAATGGACAGGTTTTCTTTCTTTGCTTTTTTTTTTTTTTTGAGCTGGAATGTTGCTCTGTTTCCCCAAGGCTGGAGTGCAAGGACGCCATCTCGGCTCACTGCAACCTCTGCCTCCCGGGTTCCAGTGATTTTCCTGCCTTCTCCTGCCTCAGCCTCCTCAGTAGCTGGTACTACAAGCACGCCCACCACCACACCCAGCTAACTGTTTTTTAAATTTTTAGTAGAGACGGTGTTTCACCGTGTTGGCCAGTATGGTCTCGATCTCCTGACCTCGTGATCCACCCGCCTCAGCCTCCCAAAGTGCTGGGATTACAGGCGTGAGCCACCATGCCCGGCCCAGGTTTTCATATTACTGTTTTTTTAGGTAGCTCCTTTTTTTTTTTCTGCTTGCTACAAAGCTCAATAAACTATATTTTTACTCTTTTCCTTTAATGGGACTCCTTCAGTTTTTAAAACACTTTACCCATTTTCCAAACAAAGTCTAAAATTGTGTCATAATTCTCCTCTCTTCCCAAACACAACAAGGACCTTCGTGCACTGTTTTTTGACATTTTGATTCCTATTAAGTTCGTCAAGGCTGTTTCACTGCAAGGCACAGAAAGTCTACTTAAACTGCGTAAGTCAAGGCTGGCAGTTAATCTCAGGCACAGCCAGGGGCAGGAGCAGGGGCTGCCAGGCCTCCCCAAGCCTGGGAAATGCTAGGGTCAAAGCTGCTCACTCTGGCTTTCATGGGCCCACAGGCCTGTTGCTTAGCTGCTTTTTCTGGTTCTCTCTCCTGCCTCATGGATTGCATGAGTTAAATCTGACCTCCTCATCCCTGATCTTTGCGGCCTCCCAGCCCAGCCCCCACCACTGTCACCCCGGGTCCAGCCATTCTGGCAGCCCAGATCACCAACCCATGGATGAGCTGCCTCTGGGTCTGGTGTCCACCCCGAGCCAGTAACCTGTGGCTGGGGCAGGGCTGGCAGAAGAGAACTTGGCATGTGGCAAAAACATGGCTGTCCTTCCAGGCCTAAGGTGGGGCCAGTTTTCAGAGAAGCATCTCCAGAATATGTCTAGTACAGACCACTCGCTCCTCAAATGTTTTAGAATTTGAAGGTAGGAGAAGAAGGCTATGGGAAAAAAAAAAAAAAATGCGGCTTAGGAGGCATCTCAAGTGCGGTTCACACCTTCCTGCCCAGCTCGCCCTGGTGTCTGCAATGCCCTTCATAGCATGGAGGGTCCGACGTAAGCGCCTGTCCTGGGTGCTTCATGTAAATGGTATTCTAATTCAGTATGCGGCATTTTGTGGCTGACTTTTTCACTTAACGTTTTCGAGGCTCCCCTGAGCTGTAGAGTGTCAGCGCTTCATCCCTTTTTGTGGTTGAGCAATAT